TTCCAAGCCTGGCTAGAGAGGGCTCAAGGTAAGGGCACTGGCTGCTCTTCCAGGAGACCCAGATCCAGCTCCCAACATCCATGTGTGGGTTCACAATCATCCTTAACTCCAGTTCCAGGAGATTTGATGCTATCATGACCTCTGGAACCATCAGGCACACACACAGTACATATACATACATGCAAGCAGAATAAACATAAAATAAAATCACACACATAAAATAAAATCTTAAGAAACAAATTAGAAAGATACTTATGTAAGGAATATTTTATGTAAGAGCTATGACAGAGTTAACCTAACTACTATGAAATATCACAATTACGTGAAAAATATTTTGCTTTCACAGTGTGCTTGTACACACCTTTAATCCCAAGAGGAAGAGACTATCCTGTCTACATAATAGGGAGTTCCAGAATAGACAGGGCTACATGGAGTAGAGACTATCCCAAAAAAAAAAACAACTTTTTTTTACAGTTTTGAAATTTCAACTACTCAACTGTGAATACTCTATTATTATTTCAATATGTTATAAAATAGTTGTTATATTCTAATTGAAGTGCTCCATTATATTCAGTTGGTAATACCCACTACCAGCACCTCACTCAGTCAGAAAGATGACAGACTTGACAGGCTACGCAGCACTCCTCTACTAGGAAATGGAATGCCTAAGGTACCCACCACTAAGTAAATGCTAAAGTAACTGTTATAGTTTAATATGTTCTATGATATGAATGGTATACAAAGCTAAACATTTTAACATAATCCATCCCTTATTTTCCTGAAAACTCAAACTGTTACCAAGATCAACAAAGACTAATAACAAGAACCTATAAAGAACACTGCAGAAATAAATGTTACAAGAGCAGCAGAAATACAAGACGTGGTAGACTAAAGATAACTGCAAGTTCTTTCTTACTCCTATTGAGAAATGAGACACATCTTTCCCATGAATCTGGGCGCACCTTAGGGATTTGACTGACTGATATAAAGCAGAACACAATCACACAAAGTCAGGGAACTAGAAGTTTATTTCCAACTGGGTTGATTTTGTTTTGTTTTTGTTACACTAAAGGTAAAGCTGCTTTTGATGGTTTGGTATAAAATGGAAAAGAGTTTTAACTATACTATAAGGAAAGAAAAAGGGAAAATAATAGTTCAAATTACTCTTATCCCTTTGATATTATACTTTTAGTTTTGATGAAATGTGAAACCAGGCTAAGCAAACACCTATGAATGGTTATAGGATGACCATCATCTTTTGGGATAATCATGTAAATGATAAAGATGAGCAACTATAGTACTTTCTCAAAAAAAATAATAATAATAATTATCTGGGCTGGAGAGAGGGCTCAGCAGTTAAGAGTACTGACCACTCTTCCAGAGGTCCTGAGTTCAGTTCCCAACAATCACATGGAGGCTCACAACCATCTGTAATGAGATCTGACGCCATCTGCAGGGACACATGCAGGCAGAGCATTGTATGCATAATAAATAAATAAATCTTAAAAAAAATAATTCTCCACAAATATACTATGACTATTGAGATCATTAAAAAGTACTTCAACTGAGCAGTGGTGGCACAGACCTTTAATTCTAGCACACAGGAGGCAGCAGCAGGTGGATCTCTGAGTTCGAAGACAGCCTGGCCTACAGAGCAAGTTCCAGGTCATTTAAGACTACACAGAGAAACCCTGTCTTAAAAAACAAAAAGTATTTCATTCAAATTTCAAAAACAATAACTGATCATTCATCAGTGACGAACCCAACAACATAAGCCCTTGTGAACATAATGTCCACTTATTTTAAACTGATGTTACAGCTAGGCATGGTTGCATGCACCTGTAATACCAGTGCCCGGGAAGGCGAAAGCAGAAGGATTCACCGCAAGCCTGGATACACAGTGAGATCATCTCAAAACTAAGAAAAAAAAAGTTGGAACTATTACTCAACTTCAGGAATTTAAGCTCATCAATCATCACAGAGCAACAGTTCCTAAATCTAGTACCACACTCTCAATGACATAAAATCCCATCAGCTGGCAATGGTGGCACATACCCTTTGTCCCAGAACTGGGGAGGCAGAGGCAGGCGGTGCTTGAGTTTGAGGACAACTTGATTTACAGAGCAAGTACCACAACAACTGGGGCTACACAGAGAAACCCTGACTTGGAAAACAAAATAGATAAATAAATTACCCCTTAAAATGTTAGCATATATTTTTTTCAAGTCAAAATTCCTAAAAGAAGCACTATTTCATACTGTTGCACATTGCTTTAATGTGTAGCTCAATTATAAAGACTTGTTTTGCCAGGCAGTGGTGGTATGTGCCTTTAATCCCAGCACTTGGGAGGCAGAACCAGGAGGATCTTTGAGTCCCAGGCCAGACCGGTCTACATAGTGAGTTCCAGGACAGCCAAAACTACATAGTAAGACCTTATGTCAAAAACAAAAAAAGAAAAAAGACTTACCTCCACTTTTCTGTCATATTTCTAAAACTCTTCACTGATCATCCATGAAAGAATGACAAGATTTAATTAATTGCACACCAACTAGCCAAATATGACAGCATAACTCTAATCCCAGCTACTCTGCAATGCTAAGTGATGGAGTATTCCAAATCCAAAGACATCTTGTGCTACAGAGTCAAGTTCAAGACCAACCTAGGCAACTTAGAGAGACTAAGCAGGAGAGATGGGATTAAGCTCAGGGATACAGAGTGACGTCCAATACCCAGTAATCCCAGTAGGGTGAGTTCTACATCTAGTGCAGTTTCACAGGCCCTGAAAATGGCATGTGTCCCACGGTCCTTTTTTCCCTTTCTTCATATTCTTAAATGACGTGAGTTCAAACTAGAGCAAAAATAATTGTAAAATTTATTCCAGGGGGCTGGAGAGATGGCTCAGTGGTTAAGAGCATTGCCTGCTCTTCCAAAGGTCCTGAGTTCAATTCCCGGCAACCACATGGTGGCTCACAACCATCTGTAATGAGGTCTGGTGCCCTCTTCTGGCCTGCAGACATACACACAGACAGAATGTTGTATACATAATAAATAAATAAATATTTTAAAAAAAATTTATTCCATAACTCTTTCATCAGGCTAACACGCCTTCTAGTTTCTTCTAAAATAAAAAGCTGATGAAACTAAGCATTTACAGCTGATCTTTCCTCCCTTACTTGTAACTAAGGAAACAACTGTCTGGGGAGATATTCATGAAGTCATTTCTATCCAGATTAAATAGAAATTAATCCAGATTATTAATAATCAAATCCACCCCACAATTAATCTACAGTATGAGTAGGCTAAAAATTAGAACCACCTTGGCCAGGCAGTGGTGGTACACGCCTTTGATTCCAGCACTCAGGAGGCAGGGGCAGGCGGATCTCCGAGTTTGAGGCCAGCCTGGTCTACAGATCGAGTTCCAGGTCAGTCAAGGCTACAAAGAGAACCTTGTATTGAAAAACAATAAATAAATAAATAAACAATTAGCAGTTCAACTACACTGTAGAGTTGAAAGAAAAAGTTTACTGATTATCACTACAAATGTCAAAAAATAGTTTGAAAATTCAAAGTCGTCTAAGTAAACAAAAGAAGACCAAACAAAAACTTTTTTGGGGGTGGGGGGTTTTCGAGACAGGGTTTTTCTGTAGCTTTTGAGCCTGTCCTGGAACTACCTCTTGTAGACCAGGCTGGCCTCAAACTCACAAGGGATCCACCTGCCTCTGCCTCCCAAGTGCTCAGATTAAAGACATCCGCCACCACTGCCCAGCTCAGACAAAAACCACCCACAAACATGGTAAACAATAACAGGATGAAGAAAAACTTAGGTGGCAGTGTTTCTATTTGAATGCAAATAACTATGCAAATTCTTGACAGCATTTCACTTTTAATTGGCAGTTTTCTGTAAAAATATTCTACAACTGCACAATACACAGTTTTTCTCTTTTCTCTCTATCACCTGGAAGAGGGGATATGGGGACGCAAATAATCAAGATACATTGTTTAAACGTATGAAATTGACTGTGAATAGGGAAAAAAGTAAAGATGTGCTGTTTTGGAAAAAGTCAATCATCTGCAGACTAATGCTCAGATGAAATGGCTTGCTGGTGGTACGACGCAAAACAGTTTCGTTGTTTCTCGGTTATTCTGAGCACTCCCACAGCTAGAGAGTTGATGGACCAATCCCGAGTAAGAAATGCAAAGTACAGAAAGAGAGTCGACCGCTCCGCAGCCCCAGATGGAAAAAAAGACTCAGAAGAAACAGCGGCGGACTGGCCCTCCCCGCAAACACAACGGAAAGCGGCGTCTTCTGGGTTCCCGAGAACCTCAGGCCAGGCTCGCTCGCCGCCCCCGCCCCCCGCCCGAGACCCAAAGTGGAGCCGCGCCGCTCTGGGGGCCACCTACCCTCAGCCAGGGCCGCTCTCCCGTTACATAACTAGGCCCAGGGCCCTGGTCCTGCCATCG